CCATTTGATATTTATAAAAAAATAAAAATAAAAAATAAAAATAAAAAAGATCATGTTCGACCTCAATAAGATAACGAAGAACTCCTTGGTCCTAAAATACCACATCTTAGTGCAATTGATGCTCTTATGTATCTTGCAAATTATACCAAGCCCAATATTGCATTTGTTGTTAATTTACTAGCAAGATATAGTTTTGTACCATCATGAAGACATTGGTATAGAGTGAAACAGATATTACATTATCTTCGTGGAACAACATGTATGGGTTTATTTTATTCAAATAAATCAAAACCACAACTAATTGGATATGCAAATCTTGGATATCTCTCCAATCCACATAAAGTCAGATCACAAACATGATATCTTTTTCTCTATGGAAATACTACTATATTTTGGCGATCAGTAAAACAAACCTTGACTTCTACTTCTTCAAACCACTCAGAAATACTTGCAATTCATGAAGCAAGTCGATGATGTATTTGGCTAATATCCATGATATATCATATTCAAGAAAGGTGTGGATTATTTTCAATAACGGATAGCCCAACTATATTATATGAAGATAATGTTGTGTGTATCACACAAATCAAAGGAGGTTATATCAAAGGTGATAAGACCAAGCACATTTTACCATAATTCTTTTATACACGAGTTCCAAAAGAACAGTGACATTGATGCCCAACAAATACGTTCAAGTGATAATCTGACAAATTTGTTTACTAAAGCTCTATCGACTATGACATTTAAAAAAATAGCACACAATATTGGGATGCGTCAACATAAAGATCTATAATGCAGCATTGAGAGTGAGTCATCTATTTAATTAAATTTACAGATTGTACTCTTTTTCCTTTGTTTAAGGTTTTTCCCATTGGGTTTTCCTTAGTAAGGTTTTAATGAGGTAATCTAAGAATATCACAATATTGTACTCTTGCCTTTCACCTAAGATCCTAGCAAGGTTTTTAACGAGATAAATTCTTTATGTATGTTCATTTAAGGGGAAGTGTTATATATATAAATGACTACAATAGAATATTATTTGATGTAAGATAAGAAGATAAAGTTGATGTGAGCAAATGTAACAAGGTAGAAAAATGGAAATGATGATGAACTAAGATAAACTTGAAATGAGATAAGGGTTGTAAATCTTTTTGTAGACAAAAAGAAAGAAGTAGAAGATAGGAGAAGGATAGAGAAACTTTGAGGATAAGATTGTGTTGAATTTTCTCCACCAAATTTGGCTATAAAAGCAAATGTTTGCCAGGTGTATTTGCGTGCATGACAATCAAGAACAATATCGACACTTATTCTCTTTTGACTCAAAAGTTCTTTGTTATTCTCGTTAGCCCTCACTTTTCCTTTTATTATTCTAGTTTTATAACAGTTTTTTTTTCGTGTTTTTTTTTTTCTTGTTTTTAGTATTTTTTTTTAATATTTTTAATAAATTTTTTCCTTTTTAAATATACATAATTTAGATGCACCTAAAAAGTAAAATATTTATGAAAAATATTTTTAAAATTCAATATATACATACAAATGCGAAAATGTACTCAATTTTTATATATTTCTTTACATTTTTTGTATTTAATTAATTTTTAAAAGACTTGTTTTTATAAATATTATACTTTTTAAGTGTATCTAGATAGGTGCATCTAAAACACACAAAAAAATTTCTTAAAATATTAAATTTTTTGACTTAAAACAAAAAATATATATATATATATATATATGAAAAATAAAAAACTCAATTTTTTAAAAAATGGGCTCAATTTTTTGAAGCCAAACAAGGCTCTAGTTTCGTGAAGGAAAACAATCTTAAGAAGACTACGCTTGTAGTTTCGTGTTTCTTTGTCTTTCCAAAATTAAATTAGTTAAACTTTTTCAATAATGTAAAAAGAAATAAAATTTAGAACAATCTTACAAATTTGGGTTCAGTAGATACATGCATTATAAAAATCCATTTCTTACAGTTTATTAATGCTCCAAATGATTCCCAATGGTCAATAAGGAAGATATTCAAATTTAGAGAGACTGGGCATAAGGAAGATATTCAAACTTCGAGAGATTGGGCAGCCTCTTATTCAGTATAAGATAGGCTATGGCAGATTAACTTTCTTATGGCTTGACTGGGCCACTCTATTAGAAGTTTGGTAATAGAATTGTGCAAAATATTGGTAGTGCTCTTTCTTTCTGTAAGGGTCTCAGATATTATAACTAATAATGGGTGGCATTGGCCTAGATTGAGAAATAGTGCTATTCAACAAGTTATTGCTCTTACCCCATTTAGCTTCATTTCTGATGTTGCTGAGTCTGATGTTGTTATATGGCTGCCCTCTAAGAATGACATATATTCATCTAAATTTGCTTGGGAAGCACCCGTCAAAACAGTATCCAATTGTGTGGTTTAAAGGAAATATCCCTAGATAGACTTTTATACAATGGCTGATTTGCTTACAAAGATTATCAACTAAAGACAGAGTGAATGTTGAAGATTGGCTCAGATTTGCTTTGTTTGCTTTATCAACAATGGCTGCTGATTGAAGAAAAAAATGAAGAAGCTAGACATTTCCAACCGAGCTACTCATGGTAGGGTGGCTAATCTTGTTGGTTGTTGGTGGTTGCCTTCAATGAATTCGGCAGCTTGGCTCTCCCGCTGATCTATAAATAGGTAATGAATGAGAGGAGTTTTATGTGGTGAAATCAGAGAGTGTGAGAGTGACAACGTGTAAGCAACTGAGTGAGTGTGAGTGTGAGTGTGAGTGTGAGTAGAGTGAGAGTATTGTCTCCTCCTCCTCCATTGTTGTAATCTGTGCATTTCTCTCCATATAGTGAAATCCGTTGCCCATGGACATAGGCGATTTACCGAACCACATAAATCTTTGTGTGTTCTTGCTTGTGTGATTGTTTTCTCCTTCCTAGTAAGGCTATTCAAAAATCCGTTCAAACCAGTAATCTGGACCGAACCAGACCGAATCATATGGTTTGGTTCGGTTCTATTAAGAATTGGTTCGGTTTCAGATTAAGAAATATGAGAACCGTAAAAACGGTTCAGTTAATGGATTTTATGAAAAAACTGCGGTTCAAACCGAAACGAACCGAATTTTAAAAGAAATTTTAAAAGATATATATATATAATAATATAATATCAAGTTTTATTTTTATTTTTATTAATTGGTTTTTTATAATTTTAATGATATTATGATAGTATAGATATGTAATATTAAGTAATGCCTTAATATTATTAGTTTTTATCATGAGTTAAATATAATTAGTTTTTGCTAATATTAACAATTTATTCTTGCAAATAAAAATTTTTGGAACCGTAAACCAAACCGAAACCAAACCGTTTTTTCGGTTTGGTTCTGGTCCGATTTTACAAGTGTAACGGTCTGGTCTGGTTCTCAAAATCACAGAACCGTTAGGATCGGTTCGGTTCTTGAATTTTCTCATAACCGAACCAATCCGGACCGTGTACACCCCTACTTCCTAGGCACAACATTGAAATGGGGTATGCAGGTAGATACTGTTTGCAATTTTTGTAGGAATGAAGAGGAATCTCATGAACATTTGTTCTTCTTATCTCCTTTTACAGGGAGTATCTGTTCAAAGTTGCTTTGATTCAATCATATTGACAAGGATCCTTTGGGTTGGTCTGGTGAGCTTCAGTGAGCAATTTCATGTTGTAATAACAACAATCTAAGATGCATGCACTATGTTCAAGCTTTCTTTGGCTTGTACTCCATATCAAGTCTGGCTAGAAAGGAATGTGAGAGTTTTTGCTCAGAAGTTTAGACATCAAGATGTGATTGTGGCTGAAATGGCCAAGCATATTGGAGCTAGAGCTAGCTCATTAAGGGGAATTAAGAATTCTTCGCCAAATCGGCAAAGTTTGCGGGAGTAGGGATTGCATTGCTCTATGCTCCAAGCAAAAAGCTTAGTCCCTCTATTATTTTTTTTATTTTTTGTTTTTTTGTTGCTGGTTCTATGGTTCTTTTACGGTTTGTTTGTTTGTTTTGGTTTTATTGTTGCTGTTCTATTTTGAGGTGCAGAGGGTATGGCCCTTGTTTTTGTTTTGGTGTTTTCTTGTGAAATAAATTGTAAGTTACAAAAAGAAAAAAAACAAAGAAAAGAAAAAGCGTAATGCCAATTCACATGCCACACTTGAAAACATAGGGTAATTGTTGCCCAGGTGTTTCAGGTTTCAAAACAGCGAATAATTCCATACACTTGAAAAACAGTGTGGAACCCAGGCATTTCACATATTCAACAAAAGATATAAGTCCAAAATTTATAAACAAAAATTACAGCTTCATTCCTCTGCAGAGCTTTATGTACATACATTAAACATATACAAATGTACAATCTTTTCTCATAGTCGAAAAAATTTACATACATAAACATACATACAAAAAATCATACTAAAAACAAAGAAAGAGAGAGATTAGGTTTTGTGGTGAGTGATACAATGGAATCTGCTATCGGGATCTCTGAACTAAAGTCTGAAGCTGAAGGATCTCCAAAGCAGCCTTCTCAGTTCTCCATGCTTGCTTGAAGAGCTAAAAAATGAAGGACTAAATTAATCCCACTCATCACACCTTTGCAATCATTGAACCCTTGTGTAGGTTGTGGAAAGGAGGGCTATTTCTGCAGGTTGCGTTGGTGGCAAGAAAGGCAAGGAGGTTGGCAATAGAGGGAGGGGATCACGATGGAGGGAGGAAGGCATAGGATGGAGGAACGAACCATAGAGAGGCTGTCTTGCGAAGCAAAGATGGAATATCAAAGAAGAGGTTAACCAGTTGAGCAGGTGCTTATTTTCCACCATTAAATAATTCTAATGGCTAAGATGAAATGTTTTGTATACAACGGATGTCAAAGGGAGTGCATATGGTGCACACCAATGAAGGGGGGGTGTGCCGAAGGCGTACACTTGAAGGTATCCAAACAACAAAGTAATTCATTTAAGTGTCAAAGTTGATTTCATTATTTTTGTAGGAGTCTAGTGGTTTCAACAAGATAACCTTTTATTTTATTTTCAAAGAAAATACCCAAATTTTAGGCCAACTCACCGGTTTGATTAAAAATTCCTGAACTTGTTCCCTCATACTTAGCATACCCTCACATAAGCATAAAATCAAACATTCATGAAATGAAATGCAGGAAAAAAGATAAGGGATGGTGATTAGGCAGTTTCAAAATTGAACTGCGCAACTTCACTATGATGATAGCGAACATTTTTGACAATTACCTAGTGATACCTACTATGTATTCAAATTGAAGGCATCAGATGGATTCCTCATTGGCATTGGCATCAAACACCCAGCATCCAAACTTGGAATTATTCAATGCATCCATTGCACATTCACTATGATTCACTGTATCATGGAGTTTTAATGTTTTTTTTTCACAGAAGTACATGATATCTAGTTCTCAACTGAACTCACAGAACCTCCTTATCCATGCAAATCTATGGTTATCAATTTTCACATTACCACCCTACCAGTAATCACCACAAGAGCAGGTTCCATCTCTGAATCGATGGAAGCGATTTGCATCTCTTAGCACAATTTCACGTTGAGACACCTTTGATATATATTTGATTGCATTATGGCAATCCCCACAAACTCGAAGGTTTTTTATCACCCGGATTATTGTAGATGGAGAAGTGACTATCAGTCCAAAAGCTATTGCTAGCTTCTCACTGTGGTAATAGAGAGCACGTTCTTTTTCTTCTTCCTCCACATCAAGCATCACGTAGCCTGTATCAGGAACATATCCTTCCTTCTTTATCAGTGTTATCAAATCCTCCACCTTGTCATATATCATGCCAGCTTGTGGATGTGATCTATCATCCACCACAAACAAATGCATTTTATTTTTCACATCTATCCAACTAAACCCCGGATCCTTCTTTACATTATTTCTCTTCATCTTTTTCCGAGCATTCTTCATATCATCCCATTGATCAGTGGAAGCATAGATATTAGATAAAAGAACGTAAGCTGCTGAGTCTAATGGCTCTAAAGCCAAGAGCCGACTAGCCACCCGTTTTCCAGATTCTGTGTCACCTAGAACCCTACAAGCACCAAGCAGGGCTCTATACATGGAAGCAGATGCTTCAAAGGGCATTGATGCAATCAGATTTTGTGCCTCTTGAACATGTCCTGCACGACCAAGAGCATCAACAAGGCAAGAATAATGCTCGATCTCTGGTTGAATACCATGATCTTGATGCATTGAATGGAAGTATGAGTAAGCTTCAGAAATTAATCCAGAATGGCTACATGCTGAAAGAACTCCAATAAAGGTAACCCGATCAGGTTTAATGCCAAGAAGTTTCATGTTTTTGAAAAGTTTTAGAGCTTCCTCGCCATGTCCATGTTGAGCTAAACCAACCAACATGGCATTCCACAAGGCAATATCTTGGACATTTGTTCTTTTAAATAAGCGATATGAATCTTCTATGTTGCCGCACTTTGCATACATGTCAATTAGAGAAGTCCTTAAATAAGTGTCTGAAGCACAATCCAACTTGATCACATTTGCATGAATTTGTCTTCCTTGTTCTAACGCCGTTAAGCAAGAGCTGGCTTTGATGAGTGTAGTAAAGGTGTATTCATCGGGGGTTACACCAGACTGCCTCATCCGATAGTATATCAAAAGAGCAAGGTCTTCTTCTCCATTTTCCACACATCCCGATATCATAGTTGTCCAAGCAACATCATCGGGTGAAGGGATTTCTTGGAAAACCGTACGTGCATCCTCCATCTCTCCACATTTAATATACATATCAAGAATACCACCACTGACACATAAATCCAAATCAATTCCAAGTTTTATAGCATGATCATGAATTTGCCTACCTTGTTTCAAATCTACTAAGCAACCACAGGCTTTCGCAGCAGTTGCTAACGTGATCTCATCTGATCTCTCTCCTCTTTTGTGCAACAGACAGAAGAGTTTTAATGCTTTACAACTGTTGTTGCATATTATGTACCCAAACATCATGGCATTCCAAGATGCCAAATCAAATTCATCCTTATTTTGTAGAAGCAACTCTGCCTCTTCCATCTTTCCTATCCGAGAATAAACATCAATTAGTGCTGTCAAAACAAAATTGTCCATTACGATCCCAGTTTTCAATGCATGAACATGAATTTGTTCAACAAGAGACAATCCTGAAGTAAGTGAAGAGCATGCCCTCAAAACACTTGCTAACGTATAATTATCAGGTCTGAAACCGTCACTCAACAGACCTAGATAGTGGGTCACAGATTCCTCCTCTAAATCACTTTGTGCATAAGTAGTTATCATCGAGTTCCATGAAATTAAATCCAACTCCTCCATGCTAGCAAATACTTTGCGTGCAAAACTTAGGCACCCAGCCTTTGAATACATGTTAATAAGACTATTTGCAACTGTAACATCTAAATTGAAACCCAATTTCATTGCCATGCCATGAATTTGCTGCCCCAACTCTAATAAATCATTGCTCCCCGTAACAGCAGAAAGAGCAATTACAAGTGTCACGCTATCACAGTCTACGTTCGATCTATTCATATCTATAAAGCATTCAACAGCGGCATAACGATCGCCAGCATGGATATAGTCAGACATGTGTTTATTCCACAAGAATACATCTGAAGTTTGATTGTGCAGAAACAATTTAGTTGCATATGCTTGAACTTGCTTCACAAACATGTCATTACCTTGTCGGTCGTCAGATTCAGAAACCCCGCCAAGAACACATTGGACACTAAGGTCATCGGGGTGCAATCCACTTCGATGAAATTCGGAGAAAAGAAGGAAAGCTTCATACTTGAGACCCATCTGGACAAATGCCTTAAGCATTATATTCCACAACACAACATCCTTTTCAGGATCAGGCATGTCATTAAACAAAGCCCAAGCATCCCAAACTCGCCCCAACTTTGAGTGAATGTTAACAAGAGCACCAGAGACAAAAACATCACGATCCAAACCGATTTTAACCGCATACCCATGAACCATTTGAGCAGCGGGGAGGCATCCGGAAATCAAACACAGCTTTAAAACGGGAGCTAAAGTGAGCTTAGTGGGAAGAAAGGAGGAAGAGGAGTGAAGAAGACGAAAAAGGCGAAAACCCTGTTGAAGAGTGTGGTGATGAACAATGGAAGAAGAGTCGTGGGGAGAAGAAGAGAGGGCATGGGCATAGGCGGAGAGAATGGAATTCCAGGAGACAAGATCTGGGTGGGGATAATGATCGAACAGGTGGCGGGCAGAGGAGAGAGAAGAGCACTTGGAATAAGCAGTGATGAGGTTGTTAGTGAGGAAACGGTCTGAGGAGGAGTGGCCTGACGTTATGGTAAGAGCGTGGGTGCGTTTGAGGAGGAGCAAGTCGGTTGTGGAAATGGCAAAGCGAAGAAGAGACAACCACTTGGAGCCACAAGAGGAGGAGGAGGAGGATTGCATTTCGTGGCGGCAGTGTCCTCCTCCTCCTCCTCCTCCTGGGCTGGGGCTGTATGGTTTGCTGTTTAAGTTAGTGTTAGTTGGGGTTGGGGTTGGGGTTGGGAGCTCCTTTGTCCTCCTCTGTCGAGTTTGGATCCTCGGCCGCACTTTCCTGCGGTCCTCCCTGCCGCGCATCAAAACGACGTCGTTTTGATTTTTGTTTTCCATGTTTGGTAGGGAAGTAAACCAAGCCTATACCAGGAATTATCTTGTTTTTCAAAAATTTCAACTGTGTGTCTTTGAATAGTATTGGTTAGTCTATCTATTATATAAGAGGAAATATAAAAAATAACGAATATGTAATTAATAAAATTATAATGATATATCATGTAGGATATGAGATAGATTTATGTAATAGGTTTTTTTTTTCTTTTCTTTTCTTTTCTACAGCCTGACCAAATTGCTAGGCCAAACAAAAAGAAGGGAAAATATCAACAAAAAAAAAAAAAAAAAGTTAGAAACATAATTACAAATTTATGAGAGTACAAGTGATTTATAAATTTGTGCAAATAAGTGTTATATTTTTTTGAATTTACAATTGTTTTTTTTTACTTTTTATTTTTTTGATATTTTTGCAAAGAAAAAAAGGAATAATTCAATATAGATTAACATTCTTATTAAAAAATTTACTAAAATTATAAAACGTCAAATATAATTGATTGTAATAATAATAATATTTCAATATCTAATAACATTTGTACACAAGTAAAATTTTTAGTAAGAAGTTTGTGCATCTATCTATATTTATGTATATATATTATATGAAGATAAATATTAATTGAAACTTATATTATTGGATGTATAATAAATTAAAAATTAATACTTATAATAACATATCAGTGTAAGTCAACTTACAAGATTAACCAGCTAAGTATAGCCTAATTGATCACCGTGACTTTCTTAACGACTAAAGAGTTAAATTAAGGAGACAAACACTTTGTGCTTTGCAATAGGTGATAATCTAACAACTAACACCTGAATTTCACAGATAAAAAAATAAAAATTCAGAATTGCAAGATTAAGATTATCTCAATAATGATTGTGTAGAGAATCTCAATCCTTACTTAAACTAGCATTACAAGCTTATTGATTAGTGTATAGAATCTCAATCCCAGATTTAAGACCTCACGGCAGTGAGACAATATGGGAAAGAAACAGACCAAGTAAGGCTTCCGATTTGGGATTTTGCAGTGAAAATCAATATTTGAAAAAATTGCTACTCACATCTTTAGAATTTGTAAAAGGAGAATCAACATATGTACCTTACCCTAAATTATTTTTATTTAACTAGGCCTGTAATTAAAGCACATAAACATTTTATATCTTCTACAAAACAGATATTTGGCAGAAGATGCCATTTAGGCTCCTGCAATTATGAATCTGATGTTAAATAATGTCTCAATGGGACCACATAATTAAATGTGGTGTTATCATTTATAAGAAGCCTACAATTTAAGTGATTCAATTTAGTTAATAGGCTTAAGGGTATATGTGTTATGGACCTAATGTGTAGATACTAGTTGTATAATTTCTATTTCTATGAGGGGCAGAAATAGAAATTAAAACATATTGGTTAAAGTTGATTTTCATTCCTTTTGAATTTCCACAACCTTTCAGTTATGAAAACCAATAAATAGAAATTAAAACCAATAATAGTTAAAGTTGGTTTTCATTCCTTTTAAACTTCCACAACATTTCAGTTTTGAAAACCAATAAATAGAAATTAAAACCAATAATAGTTAAAGTTGGTTTTCATTCCTTTTAAACTTCCACAACATTTCAGTTTTGAAAACCAATAAATAGAAATTAAAACCAATAATGGTTAAAGTTGGTTTTCATTCCTTTTAAACTTCCACAACCTTTCAGTTTTGAAAACCAATTACAACCTTTAAAAGGTTATGGTCCCTATTCCTTCCCAAGTTATTGGTAATTTCATACAACGTCTACAGAAATTTAATTTTCTAACATTCTCAATATAAGTCAATTCAAACAAGATGTCACAAAAGTGATCTCTCTTGTCTAGATTGTTTTATATGGAATGTTTTGAAGTTCATGTCTGTGTATCTCATGCGGGTATTTATCAGTCCAAAGACATGATTAA